AGAGTGTCGGAGCCCTTCTAGAAAATGTTTGTAACTGTCATTGTGATCGATAGGTCCAGGCAAAAAATAACATTATCCCTGTGTCCGTCTCCTCACTTTTTCCCAAGGAGCCGAGGGTGGCCTCCACGGTTCCCAGTCAGCCCCTCTCCTTTAGTGACAAGCCAAGAAAGGCATATGGTCAGGCCCTAAAGTGGACAATCTGGTCCCAGCCTGGCCTGATTCCAGAACCTGCATAGTGGTTAAAAAGAAGAAGAGGAAGAGATTGGATTTATACCCCACCCTTCACTACCCAAAGGAGTCTCAGGCTGTGGTCAGATGGGCCATTTGGTGCGAAAGGGAAGCGAGCCTATTTCCCCTGGTTGGAAGCGGCATTGCAAGATCACACATCCCTTTGTAGCTGTGGGCTCAGCCGGTCACTGCCCAATCAGACAGCACGTTCGGGTGAGTGGGGGTGGGGTTTTTTGCCTTTTGTTTCCCATGAGCATAAATGAGGAATCGCACCTCCGCCCTGAGAGTTCCCTATGGAGTATGCGGTTATGTGCATACTGCTAAGCGAGGGGGAAAAACGGCACTGAGTTCAGATGGAATGAGCAGACCATCCCAACGGCTTGAGTGTGCGTGCTTGAGCGATCAGACAGGGGAATGTCCATCCGTGGCCCGTCGGCAATCATTAGGACTTGACTTTCCCCCGGTGTCTTAATTCTCCTTCTGTGGCGGGGCAGCATTGTCTGATCATGCCCTTTAGATCTGTCAGGCATTCACTGCTGAGTTGGATTTAAAGGCACATCTGACCGCAGCCTCAGAGCGGCTTACAATCTCCTTTCCCTTTCCCTCCCCACAACAGACACCCTGTGAGGTAGGTGGGGCTGAGAGAGCTCTGACACAAACTGCTCTTTCAAGAACAGCTCTGATAGAACTGTGACTGACTCAAGGCCACACCAGCAGCTGCATGTGGAGGAGCAGGGTATCAAACCCGGTTCTCCCAGATTAGAGTCCGCACTCCTAACCACTACACCAAACTGGCTCTCTCTAATCTGCAGTCCCTAGTCTGGAGAACCAGGTCTGATTCCTCACTCCTCCACATGAAGCCTGTTGGGTGACCTTGGGCCAGTCACAGTTCTCTCAGCCCCACCTACCTCCACATTGTGGAGAGGGAATACGACTGTAGGCCGCTTTGAGACTTCTTAGGGTCCAGAAAAGCAAGGTATAAAGCCAACTCTTCTTCTTCTTGTTTCCTGACCCATCGTGGGTACGAGTTGAACACTCCCTTTATGCCTTCCTTATCTTTTGTAGGAACAAGAACAGCTGCTGAAGGAGGGATTTGCACAAAAGGCCAGCGAGATGCAAAACGAAATCCAGCGTCTCCAGGCAGAAGGACGCCCTTCGGATCTGTCCGTTGCGATGTCTGCCCTGGAGAATATCCCGTCTGTGTTATCCCTGTTAGGCCAGGGTATTCAGTGCTATGCATTCTCAAGGGTTGCGGGGGCGTCAACTGGCCCCAATCAGCCAAGCAAATCAAAAGCTCCGAAATCATCAAAGAAATAGTTGAGGTGCGGGGAACGATCGACCGGGATGAGGGGTGTTCTCTGCATAATCGCTAACATCGCAACATATTCGCTAACATAATCGCAAGCATCGCTAACACAAATCAGGACCGCATTCAGGACAAAGCAGCTTTGGTCTCCCATCAGTGAAATTCATGACCGGTGAAGATCAAGGTAATGCTTAAAGAGTGATATGAGGTTTTCTTTCTCTTAGCTTTGCAGATCGCTTGTATCGAGTCCAGTGCCGAGCCTTTCCTCTCCCCCCGTGTTTCACCTCCTTTAAAGCATCACATGTGCATTGATCTGCCTCTACCACCTGTCGTCATCATATTAAGTACAAATGAAAGCTTGGGGGTGGGGGGGGGACACACAATTTCCAAACAGC